TCAGCTGACAAAAAGAAATTTATTTTACCTTCTATGAAACTTAAAACAATGGGTGAAAGGGCATTTGAATACCAAGGCCCCAAGATCTGGAATGCTTTACTAAGTACTTTAAAAGAGATCAAATCTTTTGATTCATTCAAAAGTCAGCTGAAGTCGTTTCTGTTTTTAAATTAATAAGATTAATATTTGAAATAATTTTCTTTAGTCAGAACACAACGTTTTATGTTACTGTTGTATGTTGTACTCAAGGAGTTTACAGTAAGTTCTAAACTCCTTGGTTGTACTGTATTGTAAAGCGCTCAGAGCCTGTGTACTTTAATCGGGGTTGAGTGCTATATAAATGTCATTTATTACTATCATTGGCAACGTCAGAAGAAAAAGGTGCACTAGGATCACCAGTTGTTATGTTGAATAGTAAACAAATTTCTGTATGTATGTACACAATTTCACGTCTCTAAAATCAAAGTTATGGATTTAACAGAGGGAAACTTACTTCTGGGACAAACCTGGTAATGATTCAGGATGGATACCTAATTATGTGAACATTCACAAAAGGATACAGAAAATGGAACGAACCTGAGGGAAAAACAGACAACAATGAAACATGTTGCTCCTATGGGATCAATGTGTCTCTTTCACCCACCCTTCTCTCTCTCTCTCTCTCTCTCTCTCTCTCTCTCTCTCTCTCTCTCTCTCTCTCTCTCTCTCTCTTTCTCTCCCCCCCTCTCTCTCTCCTCCTTCCTCTCTCTGTCCCTCTTTCACTCTCTTCCCCTCTTTATCCCTCTCTCATTCTCTCACTCTCTTTCTCTTTCCCTCATTCGCTCACACAGGCATTTGTGCACCACAAGCACACGCAAGTACACACACGTACAGACACAAAAACACACGCACGCACGCGCGCACACATACACACACACGAGCACACATACCCGAGCTGTGCCCATTTGACTTCACTCTTTTTCAACATTGACGATTTTTGCCTTTTGAAAATCTCAGTAAGTAGCCTAGCCCTGTGAACAATAGTGAATATTGAAATAAATAACGTGGAGGTTGCGGATGCACTTTCTTTCATATAAGAAGAAAAAGAAAAAGAACCTATTTACAGGCGGTATTCGAACAGCATGAATAGTGAGTGATCTCACTCTCAGAAGCGTTGGTGAAGTCTCTTTTCCTCAAAATCTCAAAGCAATAGCCCCC